ATTCTCTTGATAAATGATACAATTAACAATAATGTTTATTTTAACCCATATTTCCTGAATAATAGTTAATGCTTTATTTAGATTGTTCTACTCAAGTGGCCACAAGTTCTTCCTCTAAGACCACCATTAGTGGACGCTTTCTTGATGCTGACAAAGAACGTTTAATACTTTCACTTCCACTAGAAGGATATGCGAAGAAACCTTTGGTATCATTGAAGAAAGCAGTTGTACCGCTAGCTAACATGGCTCATGAAGTTGAGACACGTGTCTGGATAGCAATGGAGAGAAGCCAAAGTTCATCAGACGGTCTGGAGCGGAATGAGGGTGTGGGTATGGGTGTGAGTGTGGGTGTCGGTACGGATCTGGGTGTAGGGCAGAGCTGGGCAAGTACGGACTTTTTCGAGTACGAGTACGAGTACGAGTACCGAACCCTCGAGTACGAGTACGAGTACGAGTACCGAACCCTCGAGTACGAGTACGAGTACGAGTACATAAGAGCGAATTTCCTAAGATCTCATTAGAAAAAATTTAATTGATAGTTTTAATAATGATGTATTCATTTTGAGATCGAAACATTGTTAAAGTCATGAATCAAAATATGTTTATTCTTATTTTTTTCATCATAAAGTTTTAAACAATCAAATTACAACAAAACGCTATTGCATTTAAGAAAAGTAAGCAAGCATACATTTTTTGAGGTTAACGATGCGCGATGTGGACGCATAATAAAACCACTTTTAGAAAATATTCTTTCAATAGGAGCTGATGTAGCCGGTACTGACAAGTATTTTAGACTAAGTTCATATAGAGAAGGATAAAGATTTTTCTTGAGAAAAAGTAAATTATTTTCATTGCTTCTTTCCGATAGAAAAGCATCAAGCTCTACCAAAACTTTCGATTTGTCATCAAATGAAATCTTTTTTGTATCATTTAAGTAAGGAAAAAGACATTTTCTTTTTGTTGTTGGATCAACATGTTTGGTCATCATATCAGTAATATCTTGTTCAGCTACGTTCGACTCATCAGCTCCTTCTGGTTGTGATACAGAAAAATTCAATTTTGAGAAAAAACGAACAAAAGTACTGTAAATTTTTTCGATAACACGTAGCTTTATCGCAAATTGAAGATTATCGAGCCACAACAACTTAAAACGTGCATCTAGAAGTGGCGCAATTAGAAAGATAGGATCAGAAAAACGTTCAGACATGGAATAAAAAGCAAATGGTACATCAATTTCGAAATGACGAAGAAGTCCACTAAATCGAGCTTTCAGAGATGAAAGAAGTGCTTCACACACAGATACAAGAGATAAATTTGAAGAAGCATGTTCACGCTCAAGATCAAAAAGAATACCAAGAATAGTAGGTGCAACAAGACTAACAGTAGCATAAAATTCACCTTGTGTTAGAACAGTAGCTTCATTAAACAGTTCAAATAAAGAAACAAAATCTTCTAAAATTTTTCTATCTTTAGTATTAAGAATAAGATTATTTTTTTTAAATCAGTTAAAATGGAGTTAAGAATGAAGGATGGAATACTAATAACTTTCTTCACAGTTTGAAATTGTGAATTCCATCGAGTTCGATTAGCAAGAGGAATACTGTACTTTTGTTCTTCTAAACGTTCGGCAAATGATGTACTTGTATGTGCAAGTTTAGCGAGATCAGCTACTTTTTTAAGAGATGATAATGCACCACCAGCAGCTTTAATTCCATCATTAACAACAAGTTGAAGACAATGACTAAAACATGGTAATCGTAAAAATTCTTGTTCAGCTGGTGTATTAAGTATTGTTCCATATATGTCATCATCTACTTCTTCTGCTTGTAATTGACTATTTTCGTACAATTCATTATTATCACTATCTTCATTACTTGTTTCACGTTCAGATTGATCATCATCAATATCATTAAAATATTCTTCAAAACCGGGTAATATAAGATTATCAAATGCAGCTTGATTATTACTTGCATTATCAGTAACTATTCTAACAAGTTTATCCTTTAAATTGTACATTTGTATAACACGATCAAATTCAGCAGCAAGTTTATCACCAGAATGTTTACCTTTTAGACGTTCGAATGAAAGAACATAAGTTTTATATTGATCATCAATAATTGTGTGAAGTGTAATGCCAAAATAACTACGCATTCTACGATCACTCCATATATCAAGAGTGAGACTAACATATTTTGATCGATTACAAATGTCCTGTAGCTTTTTTATACATTTTTTATACATAATAGGAAGAAACGAACGTGTAATATCACGTCTATTAATCATTTTGTACTTTGGATCAACATCTAACATAAAATTCATAAACGATTCATTGTCGACTATCGATAATGGAAGACTCATATTAATAATAAGATTTCGAATGAGACTGTTGGTGAGAAGCTGTTGACGTTTATTATTGGTCGAATCTAAAATTAAAAAAAAGTTTCTTATCTTTGTATCTTTATAGAATATGCAAAATGAAATCATAGTAACATATTTCTCTTTATAAACGGAACAAAGTTTATCGCCTCAATTCTAGTCTTTTCTCACTATTTTTTTTCTAATTCAATTACGATGTAATTTAAGATAGGTGTATACTTACATTTTTCATTCTCTCGATTAAAAATATTTATAATCTTCGGCTGATTTTGTTCATTCACCACCTGGTCTTGTTTACCTTTCCATTCATCAAATGCTAATCGATGTTTAGTTTTTATGTGCTTTAAAAAATTCGAAGTTGTTTTATATGTATCTGTAACTGATAATGAACAAATATTGCAGCAACAAGTCCATCGATTCTTTTCAATATTAATATTCAATTTTGAAAAAAATTCTTGAATAACAGGTGGTCCATTAACATCATCATTTACCACGATGACGGATTCTGATTCACCTTTTGTAATAATTGAATCTGTATCCATAATAAATATAAATAATTAAATAAATGTTCACAATAGTAAATCAAATAATTGAGCTGTAATAATACACGAACAACGAATGTATTTTGTTCAGTAAGAATGAATTATGCATACAAAAGGAAAGAAAAACTGTATAATAATATACAAACACTCATTGGTTACTAATTAAAGACTATATTACTAGTGAAGGAGAATAAAAAAGAAAGAGTACGCCAGTTGTTAAATCCTGGGAAGACGTCTTTATATTTATCTGAATACGTATATAAAGAATAAAAAAAAAAAGATATCAGTTGTGTATTTCATCCTCGGGAACGATACTATAATTTTATCAAGCATCATTTTAATATAATGTATAATTATTTAGAATTTCGAGTACTTAACTTTCGAGTACGAGTACTGATCCTTCGAGTACGAGTACGAGTACGAGTACTGACCCTTCGAGTACGAGTACGAGTACGAGTACTGACCCTTCGAGTACGAGTACGAGTACGAGTACCATCAAAATCGTACTCGAGTACGAGTACTTCGAGTATTTTGCCCAGCTCTGGTTGAAGTACTGTTGAAATAAAAAAGCGATAGCCATTTCGAATGTCGAATTATTCGGTGGAGCATAGTTCGGTTCAAAATTGGAAATGCTTTTCCAGCACCATACTTGAAATTTTAGTTGCATATTAACTGCATTAATTTCTTCAATTTG